CACTCAGTGGCAGAGGCTTGGGTTTGATCCTCAGCACCACATAAATAACTAAACAAAGTTATTATGTCCAATCTACAACTAAAAAATATATTTTTTTAAAAAGCCACCCTACAAAGCTGGGCATAGGAGGTTGAAGCAGGAAGATCACAAATGCAAGGCTAGCCTCAACAACTTAGTGATGCCCTAATCAACTTAGAGAGACCGTGTCTCAGAATAAAAAATAAAAAAGGGTTAGGGCTGTAGCTTAGAGGTAGAGCACAACTGGGTTCAATCCCCAGTACCAAAAAAAAGAAAAAAGGAAGGAAGGAAGGAAGGAAGGAAGGAAGGGAGGGAGGGTGGGAGGGAGGGAGGGAAAAAGAAAGAAAGGAAATAGAGGGCTGGAGATGTGGCTCAGGCGGTAGCGCGCTCGCCTGGCATGCGCGGGACGCTGGGTTCGATCCTCAGCACCACATACAAAGATTTGTGTCCGCCGAAAACTAAAAAATAAATATTAAAAATTCCCTCTCTCTCTCTTTAAAAAAAAAAAAAAGCAACCTCCTTTAAAAAAAAAAAAGAATAGGCTTTATCCTGGAAAGTTATCATACAAAGCATGCTCTACTGCAGAAGCATCAGATTTTAATTCCTTTATTATACTAATGGTTTCACTATTAACACTAATAAAGAATTAAAAAAGAATTCTTTTGTAGAAAGAATCAACAGAAAAAAAATCTCTAGAGATTGTGCTCAAAATTCACTATACTATTTATCCTTTTTTTTTTTTCTAGGAGAGCCCACATTTCCTAACCTTGCCTCTTCTCTGCTTCTCATTCCTTAAGCAGTAGCCATGCTCAAACTTCTTTCAATTTCTCAAAATATCCACATTCCTTCCCCGCTCAGGACCTTCACATAAACTATTCCCTCCATCTAGAATTGTCTTTTGTCCTACACTTATCCTTCGGTTTCAGCTCAAAAGTCAATTGCTGGGCTGAGGTTGTAGCTCAATGGTAGGGCGCTTATTTAGCATGTGTGAGGCATTGGGTTAGATTCTCAGCACCACATATAAATAATAAATAGATGTACACTGACAACTAAAAAATATTTTAAAAACAAACAAAAAACAGTCAATTGCTCAAAGATCTTCCCTGACAGCCCTTCCATCTAGTCAACCTGAGCTGGGATTCCTGTTAACTATCTGCAGTTTGCTCCCTGCTATATCTTCAGCACCTAGCACAGTCCTTGGCACATAGGAGCTCAACAATTCCTGTTAAACAAATGAATAAGAAATATCAAAAAAAGAAAAAAAGGGTAAATGCCTATAATCCCAGTTACTCAGGAGGCTGAGGCAGGAAGACAGCAAGTTTGAGGTCAGCCTCAGTAACTCAGCTAAACTCTATCCCAAATTTTTTTAAAAAATTAAAAAATTAAAAGGCTGGGAAGGGGCTGGGATTGTGGCTCAGTGGTAGAGTGCTTGCCTAGCATGTATGAGGCACTGGGTTTGATTCTCAGCACTGCATATAAATAAATAAAGGTCCACTAACAACTAAAAGAAAAAAAATTATCTTTAAAAAAATAAAGATAAAAAAAAGGTCTGGATGCTCAGCAGTAGAGCATCCCTGAGTTCAATCCCTAGTTCCAAAACAGGAAGAAAGAAACATTAAAAAAAAAAAAAAAAATCAGCTTGAACAATTCTATTCCTCCACCACTCCCATAGTAGGAATTGAAATAGGAATTGAAAACCAGGGTGCTTTACCACTGAGTTACATCTCCAGCCCTTTTTATTTATTTTGAGACAGGTCCACACTACGTTGCTGAGGCTGGCCTCAAATTTTTCATCTTCTTGCCTCAGTCTCTCAAGTTACTGGGATTATGCATGAGCCACCACATCTGACTGAGAAATTCTACTTCTAAGACTTTACCCTTAGAGATATATTCACATACACATAGGTTATTCACTGGAGCATAGTTTATAATAGCAAAAGACTGGAAACAATTAGAAGATCTATCAGTATAGTTTGTAATAGCAATAGACTGGAAACAATTAGAAGATTATCAGTTCAGGGAAGGTATCAAACTCTTTTTGTTGATAAAGATAATGGCCAAATTAAATTCAAAAACAAAAGAGCCTGGCATGGTGGCTTATGAGGATAATCCCAGTAACTCAGGAGTCTGAGAGTAGGAGGACTGCAAGTTTGAGGCCAGTCTCAGCAACTTAATGAGGCCCTAACAAACTAACAATACTCTATCTCAAAATAAATAAAAGAAGTAAGAGATATGGTTCAGTGTTTAAGCACTCCTGGGTTCCCTGGTACCAGAACAAAAACAAAAAAGATGCAGATAGTATCAACAGTGTGCTACGCTTGGTCTTTTTTTTTTTTTTTTTCAAGCAAGAAATATATACATTTGCTTTATACATGGATGGTATCTCTAGAAAGGATTTTAAGAACATAGTATCAGTTGCATCCAGGACAATGAATTGGACTGATGAGAAGGGTAGAATGTATATCTGAGGGTATATCTTTTACCTTTTGAATTCTATGCTATTTGAAAAATAAAATCTGAGCTGCAGTTGTAGCTCAGCACGTGTGAGGCACTGGGTTCAATCCTCAGCACCACCGAAATAAATAAATAAAGTTTTTTAAAAAAAGGGCTGGGCACGGTGGCACATGCCTGTAATCCCAGCGACTCGGGAGGCTGAGACAGGAGGATCCCAAGTTCAAAGCCAGCCTCAGCAACAGCAAGGCGCTTAACAACTCATATGGCTCAGGTTGAGTCCCCCGAGTTCAATCCCTGGTACCAAAAAAAAAAAGGGGGGGGCTGGGAATGTGGTTCAGTGATAAAGCACCCCTCGGTTCCTTCCAAGTACCCATCAATTAATCAATCAATAAAATTAAATAAATAATTTCTAAAAATAGTCATGTCCATATTTCTGAGAGACAGAAACAGTTTAAATACCCCATACCTGAATCTTAGATGACAAAACACCTTACCTGCCTGATGAGCACTGGGAGGGCAGAAATGGAAACAGAAAAAACTCACTTATCCACAAATCTCAGGCATATTACCTCATACTAGATTGTACCACTTTATTTTTTATTTTATTTTTTTTAAGAGAGAGTGAGAGAGATAGAAGTAGAGAGAGAGAGAATTTTTTAATATTTATTTTTTAGGATTTGGCGGACACAACATCTTTGTTTGTGTGTGGTGCTGAGGATCGAACCCAGGCCGCATGCATGCCAGGCGAGTGCGCTACCGCTTGAGCCACATCCCCAGCCCCTAGATTGTACCACTTTAAATTCCATTTTTCAACAACCAAGTGTCCCAATTCTGAATACATATGGGGAATGTTTTCACAGTCAGAAGAGATTATTAGTAGGTTTTTTTTTTTTTTAAAAAAAAGGAAGGTTGGGATTATGGCTCAGTAGTAGAGCGCTCGCCTAGCACGTGTGAGGCCCTAGGTTCAATCCTCAGCACCACATAAAAAATAAATAAGTAGGGCTGGAGTTGTGGCTCGGTAGTAGAGCACTTGCCTAGTATGTGTGAGGCCATGGGTTCGATTCTCAGCACCACAAATAAATAAATGAATAAAATAAAGGTCCATCAACATCTAAAAAGATTTTTTTAAAAAGAGTATTTTAATAAATAAGTAAATAAATAAATAAGAGCTGGAGTTGTGGCTCAGTGGTAGAACACTAGCTTAGCATGTATGTGAGGCACTGGGTTTGATTCTCAGCACTGCATTTAAATAAATGAATAAAATAAAAGTCTGTCAACATCTTAATAAATAAATAAATAAAATAAAGGTATTGTGTCCAACTACAACTAAAAAATAAATTTTTTTTTAAACAAAAGATTATTGGATTCAGTGTTTTCATAAGCATAGAAAGTAGGTCAGTGAATTAATACTGAAGAAATATAAATACTGACTAAAAACAAATTATTTGCACTGAGGGACTTCAAAATCCAAATGAAGTTTATTTGAATCCACCAAGTTTAAGAAACTAAAATAGTTCTAAAACTTAATTATAAGAATTTGTACATGTAAGTATACTATATTACCTACATATACAGATCTACCAAACTTTAAGAGACTTTTCAGGAAAGAAAGATTTGAGACATTAAACATAACTCCAATATTTGCTACCACAAGCAAAGCCCTGAACCATATCAAAATCTCTGAATTTGAACCTGCATATTAGAAACAGAATATTATGGACTAATGATGGCAGGAAAAAACTGATTCCAAAGTTAATAAGAAGATTTATTTGGGGGTTATCTGCAACGTAGGGCCATTCATACATTACAAGAAAAGATCTTCAACGTCTATCCCAAACCAGGCATGGTGGTGCACGCCTGTAATCCCAGTGGCTTAGAAGGCTGAGGCAAGAGAATTGTGAGTTCAAAGCCAGCTTCAGCAATGGCAAGGCACTAAGCAACTCAGTGAGACCCTATCTCTAAATAAAATACAAAACAGGGCTAGGGATGTAGTTCAGTGGTCAAGTGCCTGAGTTCAATCCCCAGTACCAAAAAAAATCTATCCCAAGATTTAGCAGAAACAAAGTAGTCTTCAGCTAATTATTCCCTGAAAAACAAAAGGGTATTTACAAAGTAGAGACAGTCATTCTAAATTATATTAAGTGTAGGAGCCAATTCCTGGTTCTTCCATTTGATAACTTATATGCCTCCATGGATTCTTTCTGTATTCTAAGTCAAAAATCTTGAGAGGTTTAAAAGTGACACAAACATTAAAGAACCTACCAGTTTTTTCCTCTATTAACATCATAATGTTGTGTTTAGCATTTTTCCCCTCCCTTCTTTCTTTGCCATACTGGGGTTCATACTCAGGGCCTTTTACATGCTAGGAAAGCACTCTATCACTGAGTTACATCCCCAGCCCTTTTTATTTTAAGACAGGATCTTACTAAATTGCCCAGGCTGGCCTCAAACTTGCAATCCTCCTGCCTCAGCCTCCAGATTAGCTGGAATTTCAGGCATGCACTACCATGCCCAGCAATTTAATATACCTTCTTAAATTATATAAAGAAAGGCTCATTGGTGGCTGGAGTTGTAGCTCAATGGTAGAGCACTTGCCTCACATTCACAAAGTCTTGGGTTCATTCCTCAGAACTGCAAAAAAAAAAAAAACGAAAGAAAGAAATGTTCATAAGCTTAGCTTATAAGGTTCCTTTGGCTCAAAGGCTTGGGATTTGGGGCAGAGATTGGAAATACTACCTTTCTTCCTCAATGCCCTAGACTTGCAAAGCTAGGCAAAAGCAATGATTCTGCATTTAACCACTAGATGAATAAGAACCAGATTTGAATTTAGAAAAAAAATAATAAATGATTGCAAGAACATTCAGTAAAGACTGCTGCCTCTCTTTCCTTGCAGAACACCTCTCAGGATCTGCCAATGAACCTCATTTTGACATGGAACGCCCCATCCACTCTAATCCAGGCTCAAGAGACAGTCAGTCAACCGGAACTCTGCCAACTTCTGCTTGGGAGCTGTGTGAAGAACAGTAGCAACAAGAGCCTACTTTGACAAGGAGATCAACAATCACACTCAAGAAGAAAAGAAGTTATTTGGCAAAGGGATGCATGTTGCCAAAATGTTAGTCACAGCTTCAAAGTCCTGGTTTGTGTATCTGCAACTATTCTTTGCTTTGACAGAGTCCATTCTCTGGTGCAGGAAACCCAAGTCAGCTTCTGTCACCCTCCCCATTTGAAGCAGTCAAGAATCCTTTCAATTTGGTGATATCAAACTGTGACACAGACAAGATATCCACCAGAAACTAAAAAGGAGGGGGGGGGGGAATGTGAAATCTGCCATTTTCCACTTAGTAATAGCTCAAGCAGAGCAACAAGAAAATGTAGAACAGGAAAAATTGAAAAACATTATATTAAGGAAGCAAGCTATACCAAAAGCCTCCCCAGGAGCTCTGAGCCTCTATAAGTTATCTCAGAAATCTCTTAAAAATTAACCAAGGGGGGCGCTGGGCTGTGGCTCAGCGGTAGAATGCTGGCCTGGCAAGTACGAGGCCCTGGATTCAATCCTCAGCACCACATATAAATAAATAAGTAAAAAGAAAGGTATTGTGTCCGACTACAACTAAAAAATAAATATTAAAGAGGGAAAAAAAATGAACCAAGAGGGCTAGAGTTATGGCTCAGTGGTAGAGTGCTTGCCTAGCATGTTAAGGCACCACATAAAAATAAACAAATAAAATAAAGGTATTGCATCCACCTACAACTGAAAACTATTAAAAAAAAAAAAAAAGAAGAAGAAGAACCAAGATAGCCAGGCATGGTGGCTAACACCTGTAATCCCAGCAGCTCAGGAGGCTGAGGCAGGAGGATCATGAGTACAAAGCCAGCCTCAGCCAGACTTTTTAGTGAGGCACTAAGCAACTCAGTGAGATCCTGTCTGTAAATACAATACAAAATAGGATTGGGGGGCGCGCTGGGGTTATAGCTCAGCAGTAGAGTGTCTGCCTCGCACATGTGATGCACTGAATTCGAATCTCAGCACCACATAAAAATAAATAAAGATATTGTGTCCATCTTTTAAAAAATCTTTTAAAAAAAAAAAGGGCTGGGGATGTGGCTCAGTGGTACAGTGCCCTTGGGTTTAATCCCCAGTACCAAAGCAACAACAACAACAATAAATGAACCAAGATGCAGCACACACCTTAATCCCAGCAACTCCAGAGACTGAGGCAGAAGTTCAAGGCCTCAGCAACTTAGTGAGGTCCTGTCTCAAAATAAAAATAAAAAGGGCTGGGGATGCAGCTTGGTGGTAGAGTGTCCCTGGGCTCAATCCCCAGTACTGCAAAAAAAAACAAAACAAAACAAAACAAAAACTTGAAGGGCTCAGAGGCAGCACACTTGTCTAGTATGCACGACACTGGGTTCAGTCCCCAGGATCCTTTAAAGAAAAAAAAAAAAAGTCACACTGTAGGTTGAAAAATCTGGATATTACACAGGTTTTTACCCCCATATAAGTACATATATACCACAGCCTGCAGCTCTTCCTGGAGTGGGTGTGAAGGCTGTAGTTTACTCAAACAGCCTGAACCAACAGCCTGTTGAATTTCAGAACTACTTCAGCAGTAGGAAAATAGAACCAAGTACACCAGAGCCAACCAGAAAGCAGAAGAAATCAAGAAAAACATTCTATAATTTTCTCTTCAACACAAGACTCCTCTCTTCCCTTCTTGAAAGCCATCAGTAAAACCTGAAAACCCCATTGTTCTCAATATCTTCCAGTCTCCCCTGCATTTCACCTTTGTGCTGACATCACACAGCTATCAGTACTAACTAGGGTAAACACCATTCTGATATTAAGTGGGAGATAGAATTAAAAAATGCCCTCTCTTTAGCAAATCCACCTCGAACCTCAGAAATGCCAAGACTTTCAGGAACACTTCTAGATTAAATAAGTTTACCTATGTGCAAAGTGTAGAGAGAATCACGCCTACAGAAGTTAAAAAAGCCAGATGCGATGGCACATGCCTACAATCCCAGCGACTCAGGACGATTGCAAGTTCAAAGCCAGCCTGAGGTGCTAAGCAACTCAGTGAGACCCCGTCTCTAAATAAAATACAAAATAGGCCTGGGAATGTGGCTCAGTGGTTGAGTGCCTCTGAGTTCAATCTCCAGTACCCGCCCCCCCCCAAAAAAAAAAGTTGAAACAGGATTTTGAAGAATTAACAATGAAGCAGAAATATAGCTCAGTGGTAGAGTGGTCTAGTTGGAAAGAGGCCCTGGGTTCAATACCTAGCACTACCAAAAAAAAAAAAAAATTAGCAAAAACAAAAAACAACAAAAAAAAAAACCAGTAAAGCAGCTAAAACTGTCCACAGCACACTCATCCCTACCAACTGACAACAAGGCCATAGATAGTGACTGGATTAAAGCATAAGGCTCAATTGTCCAAAATATTATTTTTCAGTGAATTCTCAAAGAGCTCATGGAGGGTCTGAGGTTGTGGCTCAGTGGCAGAGCGCTTGACTCACACGTGTGAGGCACTGGGTTCGATCCTCAGCACCACATAAAATAAATAAATAAACGTATTATGTTCATCTACTAGTAAAAAAATAAAGAAAAAAAGAGCTCATGGAAAAATCCAGTTTCTGTCAAGAATAAAATACTACATTCTCCTAGTCTCCATCAGCTGACCTCATTCATTCCCAACTCTAATTTCCTTATCTTCATTTTGGCCAGACTTCATTGCCAATAAAATGTAACACAATAATTAGAAATTTTCAACTATAAAAGTTTCACACTGGGGCTGCGGTTGTGGCACAGCATTTGCCTAGCATGTGTGAAGCCCTGGTTTCAATCCTCAGCGCCACATAAAAATAAATAAATAAAAAGAAAGGTATTATGTCTATTTACAACTAAAAAACATACATATATTTAAATTTTTTAAAAGAATAGTTAAAAGCTAGATGCAGTAGTGCACACCTGTAATCCTAGTAACACAGGAGGCTGAGGCAGGAGAATGGCACGTTGAAGGCCAGCCAGGAGAATGGCAAGTTCAAGGCCAGCCTGTCTCAAAATAAAAAATAAAAATAAAAAGGGCTGAGGGCTGAGGCTATAGCTCAGTGGCAGAGCACTTGCCTAGCATCTGTGAGGCACTGGGTTCGATCCTCAGCACCACATAAAAATAAACAAATAAAGGTATTCCGTCCATCTACAACGACAAAAAAAAATTTTTTTAAATAAATAAAAAGGGCTGAGATGTAGCTCACTAGTAGGGCACTCCTGGGTTCAAATCTCCAGTACAGGGCTGGGGTTGTGGCCCAGCGGTATAGCGCTCGCCTAGCATGTGCAAGGCCCTGGGTTCGATCCTCAGCACCACATAAAACAAATAAGTAAATAAATAAATAATCAAGGTATTGCATCCAACTATGACTAAAAAAATATTAAAAAAAAAAAATCTCCAGTACCATGCACACAAAAGGACTGGGGATGTAGCTCATCTTATACACCCAAGGCCCTGAAATCAATCCCCACTACTACGGGGGGGGGGGGGGGATATAATTTAAAAACTGAACATGCATCAAATCTAAACCAACTCTTTCCTGGCAATACACACACACACAAACACACATATTTACACACAGATATACATTTTATATAATAATGTATATATATGTGTGCGTGCATATATATACACTATTATACACACATGCGACCAAGAGGAAGAGACTGAGAAAAATGTCTTTCAAATAGCAATATCTCAATCTTGTTTCCAGAGCACTTGTTTGCAACCACTTCAACATCTCACTTGTTTAACACAGTCTTTTAGAGAACAGGATGAGGATTTTAATTCCTGATAAAGAATGAGAGAAGATTTCATAAATGGTTTCTAACTGGCCTTGAAGGATGAGTAGAATTTTATCAAAGGATGCAAAAGTAAATTCCTCCTATACTACAAAGGGGGGAAAAATGAAGAGTTTAATGATTTGCCTCAAAGTTAATGAGTAAAGCCAGAGGTGTGCTAGAACAGTTTTTACTCTCTAAGCTCTTTTCTGGTACATAAAAGGAGAAGAGTAGCCGGAAACATTCAATAAGTCATTCGGAAACCAAAACTTAAGTAAAAACTAACAGCATGAAAAAAAAAAAAAAAAAAAAGAAAGAAAGAAAAGGAGATGGGCCCTGGAAGAGCCCAAAACAGTATTTTTCAAGTCCCTTTAAAAATATGAATTCCAGTACACCAGCTTCTTCCAACTCCTCACTACAATGTCATCTTTTCAGAATTTTCCTTCCTGATCAGCAACTCAATCACACACAACGCCCACATCTAGCACTCCAACAGGAACCCCTCAACTCCAGGTGCACCAAAACCTATCTCAACATTTCTCAATCCAACCTTTAACTCCATTCTGACTGCCTCTCAACTAACGCTCGTAAGATTCTATCTAATGTAAGCAGTTTGCTGAGCCATCCTCCCAACCATGACTTTTTATCTAAATCAATTCTCAAAATGTCACACGGGCCTCCTCACCCAGAGCATCCTACTAATTACCTGTTCCCAACAGGTACTCCCTTCCCATCTCCCCTTTTGCGCACGGTTACCTCGTTCTTCACCGCGAGTTTCCGTCTTACCTCAACCAACCCTTCAACATGCTGTATTTCCTGTCTCTCAGAAAGCACTTCGCCCATCTTCGCAGTCCTCGCCCGCCCAGTACCAATTCCTGACCACTCCTCCTTAGATGACCCACGCCCCCACTCTAGCTTCTCCAGACCCAACCCCCATTTCCCCAAATCCCG